GGTGAAAAGGCCAGGTCAGCGCGGCTCCAGATGAGAGCCATTGGCAGACTGAAAGGTTAGACTCTGGGGCTCCTCGAGGCCCTCCGCACACCCTCGGACAAGACGCACTTAACCTTCTCGGTCTGGAAAAGCAGAGGTCGCGCTCCGTGTGTGTTTAGGCGGGAGATGGAGTGCGTGTGCCATTAGATGTGAAATGACAGAGGAAGCCCATCCATCACGGGCGACGTTGAAGATGACCGTACGTGACGCGACCGCCAGTCGCTTCCTGGCGCCCACGGAGCACACGGACGGGATCAAATGCTAATCGGTCGTGACTGTTTCCCGTGGGCACATGAATACCTTTAATTGGCCGGTGAGTGATGGGCAGTCGGCTGCTGAGCCGTCTGGCCGATACGGATGCGTCTGCGCCTCAAAGCGTCCCCCTCCCTCGGGGTCAATCTCAAATGTCATAACTCGATCGGAGCCGATGGATCGCGGGGGCCGATCGACAACAAATGGAAGTCCCGGCTCACCGTCTCATTTGATAATTACCTCGTGGGCAATAATTCACCGTGCAAATGTTGGGTATCATGTTCCTCAGCTGGATGAGTCACAGACCGGTGGAAACGAAAAACAATCCCAAATGAGATCTGTGCCGTTTGACAAATGTGACGGCTACTGGAAAAACTCTAGAGGACATTAGCGAGTGATTACCGTTCCTGAAGATTGCTCCTCACATCCTCATATAATAGATAATGTGGCTGGCTGAAGAAGTTAGACAAGAGAGCGCATAATTAAACAGTACAGACCTCCACAACTTCCTGGGAAACTGTGGAGGGGCAGAGGTAAACAAGCCGTTTGAAGCCTATGAATGAAGTCATTAATTCTTCCGTCGCGGTCGAACTGCGGAGGAGTGAGTCGGCGTACCCCGCCGTAAATAAGAGAGCGTTCCGAGCCAAACGACGCGGCGGAAGAAGAGGGAAGGGAGGCAGGTGTAGCCAGGGCATGAAAGACGAGGAGCATAAAAAGGCCTTTCGTGTGAGAGGAGAAGGGGGGGGGGGGGTGTTTCAAGGGTAAGGCGTGAGAGATGTAGAGAGGGAGGACTGTTGTGACTGCCCCCTTTATCAGCTGATATATATGCATGAGGATTTCCTCATCATCCCCGCTGTCAATTCCCCATCCCTCTGATATTTGACTGACAGCTCGCATCAACACCAATAAACCTGCACATCATTCCAGGGGAAGCTGCCCATCGCGCCGGATTGGAGGGTGGAGAGAAAAAAAAAAAAAAAGTTAATTTGTTTTTCCGGCGGCTGCCGGCAGTGATAGCGCCCCGCGACTGTTTGCCTCCACGCCGAAGTTGTAAATTAGAATTACGCCTCAATAGAGGTGGCAGGAGGCCGCTTCTGCTCTATGCAGAAGCTCATTTTCCAACGACTGGTGGAATACGTGGCAGCTTTTTTATATTTAGGGTGTCGCGGCGAGCAAATTGTGCACAAATCTGAATTATGAAAGATAGAAAATGAAACCATTCTACGACTACTTTCTCTCTATGGAGGGGGATTCACCGCTAACACACACATTTCTAGGGGGCTGAGAGGTTTGGTGGTAATCATAGTGACGGATAAGCTTAAGAGCCATTAATGGCTTCAAATAACCAGAATGCAACATGAGGAAATGCACAAACGCCCGTGTATTTTACGCACGTATCCACACACGGACGACCACTTCTCCCTTTCTCTAATTGCAGGGTTAAAGCCAACAGCGGATAAGAGAGGCGACGTTAACCCTCCGAGGGATTTGCGTGATTGCTGGCTCCATTTCAATCATTCCGACCTCCGACCAATGCGAGCGACACGAGCGCGGCCTTCCCCGGGACCGTGTATCCGACGCGGGGCCCTGATCAGCATGAATGGAGATGAAGTGAGAGAGAGAGAATGTCTATCCACAGGAGATAGGTTTGTCCCGTGTGCAATATGTATGTTCTTATGCATATTTTACAAAAGACTCTCTTACAGACTCGACTCCGGCATTCCACATCAAGCGCAGCTAACGGCCCCTAAATGCCAGATGAGGTGGCGGATCAAAGAAATCCACCTGCAGCGCGGTAACCGACGGTGGGATTAGGTAATGCACCTCCAAATTAGCCCCATCACGGCTTAGAGTCACGGCTAAGATGCCCACACAAACATGTCACAGGGATTTCGGTACGCCTGGCAACACTTTTGACAGCCGGGGCCCGTTCAAAGAGTCGCCTACATCTACCCTTCCTTCCTTTTTCCTTTTCTTGCTGGTCTCATGTGTTGGAAGCCACAGTGATCACTGCTATAGCCGCAAACAGGACGTGACTGGAGCAGATAAAGGAGAGAGCCCCCGGCGACAGGGGGACTACACTGGCCTTGTGCTTGTTTAAATCGGCAGGAGGTCTCCGGGACCTCGCAGCAAACATTAGCACTCTTAATCGTAGATAATCACGAACTTGTGTGAATTCAAGTGGGATTTAAGAGCTCATTTTGTCTAACGCGGCGTGGTCAATCAACAGTTGGTTCAAGGAAATAGAGAGATGACTTGAGGTAAGGAAGAGAGGAAGGCCTCATCATGAAACTAAAAGGGGAAGAGAGCAAGTGCTCAAGGAAAGGGAAGCAAAGGAGTGTGCAACGACAGCGGTAATCCATCAGAAATCATCCCGGCGGTGTGACAACAAGGCTTTGGTTTCTGTAGAGCACAGCTCACCGGTGACTACCTCTCAACCCCGCGCATGCTGCTGCTCTGCGATAGGACGAAGAGCGGAACGGACGCCGCTAATTGGCTTGCTTCCCTGTCGGAGGACCCGGGGTAGAGGATACCATATCGTGTCGCATGCGGATTTGCAAAATAGCGCATCAAAAAAAAAAAAGGGGGCGGCTTTCATGTCCCTTACATTTACAGAGGAGTGGTGGTTGGTGGTGCGCTGTCACGGCGGGACGCGTGTCGATGGCGACAGCTTAACTTTGATCCTGAGTGACTGACGGGACGGCCGGGACAGACGCGACGCGACGACGCAGAGGACAAGCTATATCCATCAAACCCTGACCTCCCGATTAAGTCGCGTTGGCTCACACTACAATACGTCTAGTCCTCGCACAAGACCCAAGTCTGTCAGCTGGGTCGCAGTTGCATAAGTGTGGCATGTTTAATATCACTTGGACTAAACAGTAATATGGTTATTAGGACCTTTGACCTTTTAAACACACACATCATCTCCACCAATCCCCAATTGCTGACCTTTAATGACGCACCACAATTACGCCGGCAGACTCACACCAGCAGCTGTGCCGAGATAGAAAAAACACCGTATGGAAGTGATGCTCTTCACATGAAGAGGATCACGTATGGATTTGGCAAAACAAACCAAAACAAATGTTGCCCTAGCCAACGTGATCTCCAGAGGTCACCTTACACCCAGCTGTTTGCAGTGCGCTGCCGCCAAAAACAACTTCTTCTTCAAATACTGGCGGCTAACTAAATATTTATGGCCGCCGAAAGGACAGGGCCCTCTTCCAACATGTGTTGTGCTTGCTGCTGTTGCGCACACTTTCACTGCGGAGGTAAATTGAGGTCACATGTTTATAATTTGCCCTTTTCCTAATGCTGCCATTGGAGTAAAATAACATTTGAGAGCTGCGATTAGATTGAACCGCGCAATACTCCGGCTAATTAAGTCATATTTCAAGTTCAATAACGATCAAGGCGGCCAGATAAAGGCCAGGGAGGGAGAGGGAGAGAGAGAGAGAGGGGGAGAGAGAGAGACTAGTGTGCGGTGCAACAATCCGGAAGCTTTTTATACGAGACTCCGTTCTATTGTTGAGGCAGAAAGGCACTCAGCCTCTGTGCTCGGATTGAACAGTGGGCTGGGTTTAAGTGTTTCTCACTATTTTTTTTCAACAAAAAGCCAGACATTTGCTGGTTTCGTGCTTCTTAAATGTGAGAATTTGGTGCTTTTCTTTATCTTACGTGACAATAAATGGCCTTGTTGGTCGGATAAACAAACCACTTGAAGACGTCACCTTGGGCTGTGGGAAATTGCTATTTCCTGACAAAATGTTAGACAAAAAACAACTAATCAAGAGAATAATGGGCGGATTAATAGAAATTTTAAATAACGGTTAGATGCAGCCCTTGAAGAGAGTATTGAGATAAAAGGAGGAGAAAAATCCCGGCTCCAAAGCATACAGCGGGAATAAACAGGAAGTGGTACTGTGTGCTCACGGAGTATAGATGCAGAGATTACCTCCCAAACACATAAATCCAATCTGTCACACAGCTAGCGGTGTCAGCTCCTACATAGGCTCGATGTGTGGAATAAATGGAGCTATAAAGTACATTTTACCGGGGACGTGAAGCTCTAACTGGACTGGATTTCGGGCCGGTTTTACGCTCAACTACAACCTGTGTCACACGTTTTCACCGTGTCATTCATCTTGGCCCTTCTTTCCACCAGCAGCCCTAACCATGTGCACATCTCTTCCATTACCGCGGTTGACACTGTGGCCGATTGGATTCTTATCTGCCATCTGTAGGGCTATCTCTTCGCCCACAGCCTAATTGAATCTCAAGTGTTGGGAGTGCGGTGATACACTGACCACACCGTGTCACTGCCAATAGATAAGGGATCGCTGTCGGAGGATTGGACCGCCGCAATCACGATGGGGACGTGTTGATAAAGGGGCCGACAAGCCGCTCGTGGGTTGGCGACTGTGTCGGTGGGACTTTGCTTGGATTGAGAGATAATGGATACCCTCCATTACAGCGAAGGTTGTGTTCATAGCCAATAATCCGATACCCCATAATCCTGCTGGCTGCTTTGTTCAAACTGAACCAGGGGAAAGTAGGGCGGTTGTTTCCCATCGTCTTTGAAGCTGCTTTGCTTGATTTATTGATTTAAAAGAGTCACCTCAATGGTAGAATGTTTAAACCCAAAAAAACCGCATATGTTGTTTGAAGAGGAAACGTGTGACTCGGGACTTTTAAAGGATTCCTACCTTAAGAGGCCGAATCCTTTCTTTTTGGTCTTCTTCTCCGCGTCGTCCACAGAGTCGTCCGTTTTCTTCTTCCCTTTGCTCTTCTTCTCTTTCTTCTTCCCTTTGGTTTTCTTCTTCTTCTTGCCGTCCTCCGCGTCCAGGCCCTGGCGAGAGGAGCTGCTGACGGGCGTTTCACAACCGGAGCTGTGGTCCGTCAGGTCGTCGTCTAGCAGAGAGGGGCGAAGGAGCAGAGGTAAGTCATTTTGTTGGGGTGTATGCATCGCTGTGCTGTTAAAGGGACCTGTTCAGTGAGCTAGTTAGGCCTCTAATAGGCAGACTTTCTCCCAGAGCAGGGTGCTGGGCTGAGTGCTTGATTTAAAGTATCAGAAGACAGAGTTGTGTGACCTGCCAAAGGCAGAAACTTGTGTAATTGTCATTCGCCGTCGAAGTGAGACTTCTCCTCTGCGGACGGGTAATTTTTCACACTCCAGATTCCTCCAAACATCATTAGTCAACATTCTGCATGGACTCACTCATCCCAGCTAATGCGGGGGATAATTTCCTCAGTAATCATCACACACACACACACACACACACACGACATCCAGCGCGTCTGTGGGTTCACAAGGTAGAGCATTAAATATATGCTGCTGTAAGATATAAAGTTGCTCTTCCTAAATTGCTGAGTGGATAAAATCATGGAGCATTTCATTAAGGTACTCAGGCTAAGCACCGTCCCTTGGCAGGCCCCTGGCTCTTCTTGAGTGCCAGGGTGCTCTACAGCCTGAGGGATGTGCAGGGTCCAATCTAAAAAATAAAAAAAATAAAAAGAATACGACATCTCGGAAAGGATCTTTAAATACAGCGACAGAGAAAAGTCTCACCGTCTTCTGAGGGCCCGTCGTAGGACTTGTCGATGGCGAAGCGGAAGCTCTGGTTGCACCCGCGCCCGCGCACGATGTGCGGCCGCGGCCGGTGGAAGGGCACCTGGGCTTTGCTGCGACTCTGCTCGGCCTCCGCCACGGCTGTCTGGAGGCTCTCGAGGGAGCTGGACTTCCAGAGGCCCAGGGTCGGGCCCAGCGCTCCGCCGGCCGAGGGCTCTGGGGAAACAAAAGAGACGAGAGAGAGGGGGGGGGGCTGTGAGTGATGAGGTGGACCGATGTTTAACAGGATGAGAGGGAGAAGGGAGGGCGGACTAAGTGATGGAGGAATGAGATGAGCTGCCACTGATAAAAATGGGACAGAATGATTTTAAGAGACCCTGGGTATTGAGATCATAAGCTTTTAGCTAAATTTCCCCTACCGTTTACTAAACATTATCATCCACCGCATTCATATTTCCTTATTTAAAGGGCATTAAACTTTTAAGTATGAATGCTGCCCGAAATGGAACAGAGATTCAAGTTCATTGCAGGAGAGGGAGGAGGTGGGACGAGACGTTTCACATGAGTTACGGGAGGGTACGCTGGAACGAGTCCATCGGCCCATTTGTGCCCGATTAGGACGCATCCAGCGTAAAGCTGTGCACTGCGGCTTCTGGACCAAAATCAAGGCCGACCAAAGTGTACGGCAGCGTTTAGCCAGCATGCCTCATCGGCCTCTTTCACACACGTTCAGCCGTTTCTTTAAACTATTTGTTGCACTTTTTCACTTCTTCGTTCTTGTGTTTGGTTTAGTCCGATTGTGCTGGCAGCTGAATTTAACTTAATTCCGTTATCTTATCTTAACATGTGAGGAAAACAGCACTGAGCACTGCAATAAAAGTTCTGAAACTATAAAGGAAAACTTATTTTAGGGCATCTTTACTAAAGCAGGACTGAAGATGAGTGGAAACTATTTAGGTAATTAATCTTATGGAGTCTGGAGTGGATCAGTGTTACAGAATATCTCAATGGTTAGTTGGAATCAAGACATGCATATTTACATTTATAAAAAATACAAAGCTGTGAAGAAGAAATGTAAAGAGAGAGAAGCAGGTGAGCAACATAGAGGAGGAGGAGAGGAAACAACGAGTGAGGTGGAGTGGTACAGGGACGGCTGAGGAGCAGCACTGTGGGAACCGACAGGCTCATGCATAAAGCAAACAAATGAACTGCCATCATACTGTACTCCGGTACGGCCTCCGACTCCAGAGAGGAAGAGAGGAGAGACGGAGAGGAAAGGGGATGAAGGCCACAGCTGATTCAGCAGGGGGGGGGGGGGGGGG